AGTAATATATACAAAGTGCTTAATATCTGGCATAGAGTAGGAACTCAATAAATGGACCTTTTGATTCAACTTATTCCTAATTATCATCTCTTCTACATTTTCCCAAAAACATAATTTTTTACATGTAATCTATGAATTAAATCTTTTATTTACTATTCTAAGTTCCTCCTTTTGTAGTTCTTGATTCTCACTTTTTAAAATTATGCCTCAGATGCCTCTTTTTATATCTAATATGTGTGTAAAATGTAGGTATAGGAGCATATCTACATCCATGTTATTGGGATCTGTGTATAAATGTCAATATAACATACAGCATTTTCTCCATTCTACCAACATTTTGAAAAAATTAAGGGTAGCATTTTCTCCACGTAACCACCTTACCACTCTCAAAAACAAAAACAAAACCCAGAAATTTTCTCCATTGAAATTAACATTATTCTGAGAGGCTACTTCAAGCAGACTGGGCATGTCCTTGCTAGAGCAACTAAAAGACTAAATTGGTGGGTTTGGACTGTGATGACAGGTGCAGTTCCTGGGGCTGGAATTGGACTGAGATCGGGAGGCTTGTGCCAAGAGGGCAGAGGGGCCGCTTGGAGTTAAGCAAGGGAGAGAGCTGGCCGGATGGGTATGTGGGCACAGGACGAAAAGGGAAGAGTGAAAGGTAGGTGGTATGACCAAACTCTTTGCTGGCTTTCAACCTGCAAAATTAAGAACTAGCAGTGGTATCTAGGAAAATACATACGGATTAGGATCAGTCCTCATTTATTTTTAAACACGTTAGTATAAAAGACAGTAGCCTTTGCCAAAGACATTTTATTTTTATGTATATTTGTTCAGTCAGATGACTTTTTCAGGGTGTTTTTGTTTTTATTTACCCCTCTTCCCCTAAGACATCACACTGCATGACAATTTCAGTCTCCAGCGTAAGAATCCTAAGGTCCCCAAACAACCATGTCCCCAGGGGCATCCCTGTACTTTCAGCATTCACTGTCTGGCTCCCCTTCCATTGCTCAGGGGAGAGCAGTTAGGTAATTGTCTCTCTGTGCCAGGAAACAAACCGCTAAGCACCTACCTGATCCTTTACCTCAATGCTGCCTCTCCATGAATGCTCTGGGCCGAAAAGAATAGTGGCTAAACAGAAAGCTCAACCCTGGGTACATTTCAAGGGCTAGCAAAGCTAAGTCCTCAAAGGCAGGACAACACCAATGCCCATAATCTCTAAAGCAGGAGTCTAAAGCTATCAAGAACTATTCCCGCATCTAGTGATTTTGCCCTCAGTACAGACCAAGCATTTTTGAGAAAGGTCTTTCAAAATCTTCAAACATCAGAGGTTTTCCAATGCTCCAAGTTCCACAGCAGGCACTTCCTGTACCTCCTGAGAAGGCTGCAGGACAGATACTGCCTGAGACGCACCGCAGTGCCCGTCAGGTTTCAGCAGCTGCCCTCCGCACACAGGGAGAGGGGGTCCGGCACAGGGGGTCCCGCTCTACTGAAATCCCTTCATTTGGAGAACACGAAAAGTAAGTGGATGGGACTTCACCTCCCTGACTTAGCAGGTAAAATGACTGCTGGACCTAGCTTACCAAGAAAAAGGAAATCACCCACACTCTAGCAATCAATTTATAGTCTAGCGAACCCCCACACCAAGATAAAATCCAGCCTGCCATTTGTTCAGCAAGCTAGGAAAACAGCTGAGAACTGAACCAGAAGGTGGTGAAATGAGTGAGAGCCTGCCTGGGCTGAAACCCTGCTTTTCACTATTTGCCAGCAAGGGCCTGGGCGGAAACCCTGCTTTTCACTATTTGCCAGCAAGGTGACCTCAGGCAGGTTACTTCCTTGCCTGGGCTACCTATTCAGCCTATACGGTAGTAAAATGGACACAAGGCTGGCAATTACCTCCTCCTACTGTTGTGAGGAGTAAATGAATTCACATGTAAAGTGCTTAGATCAGTGCCTGGCACACAATAAGCACCATCGAAGTGGGTAAACGTTCTTAAGTAAACATCCCTGAGAGAAGAATACACAAACGGAAAGCTACTTTCTGCATCAGAGTGAATTACTGATTTTAGCATGAAATTGCTATTCAAATTGTACCTAAAAGTTCACTTTTTTTGGTTTGTTTAATCAAAAAATATTTCAAAGATATTTTAGAAAGAAAATATTAAAATATTATTTTAAATGTAAATAATTATTAGATGGGGACTTGGAATACCTTCTCCTCTCACCCAAAAATACACGTGCTAAAAGGCTGCCATGTTCAGCACATATTTATTAATCATTTATCAAGCATTTGAAAGCATTTTCTAAGTTTGAAGTTTCTTCAGTCCATCAAGAATATCAAGGTGGGAACCTGAGGACATAGGTTCTAGGCCTGGCTTTGCCACAAACTAACATGAGCTAAAGCAAATCACCTTATAGCTTTGTGAACAATTCTTTCCAGTATCCCTATTTTTCACATGTCGCCACAGAACAGAGAAGACTTAGAGACACTGATGGGTGTGCAGATCCGCATTTAAGAGGCAATAGGGTACAAATTACTATACACACCTTATTTCAACCCATGTCAGGAGAAGTTTTATTTATTTATTTTTTAAGATTGTATTTATTTATTTGACAGACAGCGAGAGAAGGAACACAAGCAGGGGGAGTGGGGGAGGGAGAGGCAGACTCCCTGCTGAGCAGGGAGCCCAACGCAGGGCTCAATTCCAGGACCCCGGGATCATGACCTGAGCCGAAGGCAGACACTTAACAACTGAGCCACCCAGGCACCCCAAGGATAAGTTTTAATATGCTTCCTTTCACCTTGGCTTGGTCTCTGCTCAGTACTGGGCTTTCTATGCAGACTTCCATTTATATAACCATCTTGGAGTGGTTCTTGCTGATGTTCTTCACATTCCTGGCCCAGTAGTATCAAGTTAAAACATCTCCTCCCTTGAATCCAGCAACCCATGTGATACACAGAGCAAGATTAACCTGAATATGCTTTGACCACAAAAAAAAAAAAATTGCTCCCCAAGCCACCACCATTCCTTTAAGCTGTTTGCAGGTTTCTGTCCTGTATACATTGCTCTAGGTTCATATATGTATTTGTTCCACGTTTTTGTGCCCTTCTCCCCTAAAACTTGTGTTTTTCTAGTGCTCTTCTCTTAACATCAACTCTGTAATATCTTTCTTATTCTTATCTCTATAAAAATTAGTAATAGGTAATCAGTATTATGTGTAGACAAAAAAACAAAACAAAACAACAAAACATTCTAAAACTTCTTTCTCCTTAAAGGCCATTTAATTATATTAGCATGATTACAGTAAATTAGATGGCCCTATGTAAGGTCACTTAAATTAAAAAAACAAACAAACAAACAAACCTACTTCGGGCGTTACAATTTAACACACTTGTAATTATTTAGAGCATAAACTAATGGAGCCATAGAGATGATTATCATTGCTTTTGCCTACTTGGAATTTTTGAAACAAAGAAATAGGGAAATGGGAGCGCCTGGGCGGCTCACTTGGTTAAGCGTCTGCCTTCGGCTCAGGTCATGATATCAGGGTCCTGGGATAGAGCCCCACATCGGGCTCCTGGCTCAGTCAGGAACCTGCTTCTCTCTCTCCCTCTGCCACTCCCCCTGCTTGTGCTCTCTCTCTCTCTCTCTCTCTGTCAAATAAACAAATAAAATCTTTAAAAAAAAGAAATTAAAGAAAAGAAACAGGGAAATGTAAATTTTAAAAGAAAAGAAGATAAAGGGAAGAAAAGCTCAGAACTGCCATCTTCACCTCATACATTTAAAGAAACTGGGCTAACCACAATGAGATACCACCTAAAACCAGTCAGAAGGGCTAAAATTAACAACTCAGTAAACAACAAATGTTGGCAAGGATGTGAAAAAAGGAGAACCCTCTTAAACTGTTGGTGGGAATGCCAACTGGTGCAGCCACTCTGGAAAACAGTATGGAAGTTCCTCAAAAAGTTAAAAATAGAACCAGCCTATGACCCAGGAAATGCACTACTCGGTATTTACCCCAAAGATACAAATATAGGGATCCGAAGGAGCACCTGCACCCCAGTGTTTATAGTAGCAATGTCCACAATAGCCAAACTATGGAAAGAGCCCAGATGTCCATCAACGGACAAATTGATAAAGAAGATGTGGTTCATATGTACAACGGAATAGTACTCAACCAACAAAAAGAATGAAATCTTGCCATTTTCAATGACGGGGGTGGAACTAGAATGTATTATGCTAAGCAAAGTAAGTCAGTCAGAGAAAGACAAATACCCCATGATTTCACTCATGTGGAATTTAAGGAACAGAACTGATGAACATAGGGGAAGGGAAGGAATAATAAGACAAAAACAGAGAGAGGCAAACCATAAGAGACTCTTAACTATACAAAACCAGCTGAGGGTTGCTAGACGGGAGGTGGTGGGGATGAGGTAATTGGGTGATGGGCATTAAGGAGGGCATTTGATTTAATGAGCACTGGGTATTATATGCAACTGCTGAATCACTAAATTCTGCCCCTGAAACTAATAATATACTGTATGTTAACTAACTTGAATTTAAATAGAATCTAATTAATTAATTTATTAAAAAATAAAGAAACTGGGCTATATTTCTACTTATCTTGATTATGGCCAATAATCCATTTTGAAAAGAATGAAGAAAAACATTTTTAGTTGAACTGAGTCACATGTATTTTATAGTATCTCAGACACTAGAATTTGACATAGAATTGTCTTCCTTTATTTTCCATTTTATTTATATTTTGTTTTTCACCTTCAACAAAAGTAATATATGACTATTTAAATTTTTTCAAATATTTTAGAAATATGTAACCTGGGCAGTGGAAGGCTCTATAAGTCCAACTACCCAACATATACACACATGCAAGATAAATCACCATAAGCTGCTGGTATATATTCTTCCAGAATTATTTCCTGTACATATACTAACATATTAGTAATCAGCATACTTTCAAAAAAGGATTCTACCACTTACCAAAATGAGCCCTGATATTAGTGAGGAAGTGCCTGTCAGGGCCACGTAGAACTTCGGTGTCAATGTGTTCAAAAACATGCTCACTGAAAAAAAAGAGAGAAGGAGAAGAATAAGGAAGGCATAAGTATGTCAATAAAACAGAGGGTTCCCTATTTTTCTCTCTGGTGAAATCATTTGTTTCTGATGACAATTCTTAGAACCATAACAAAGTCCCATTAAAATGGTTCAGCATCACCAAGGCTCAGAATGCTAGATGTCAAGCGCTATATCCTGAGAGAAAATAGCCACATAAAAGAGAAAAAAGCAGCTTTTTAAAAAGTTTCTGCCTCCCAAAACTATTGTTGTGAATGGTCTTCATGGATTCATAACCACTGAGGAATCTAATCAAAACTATTACTAAACTGTCAGTCAGAAAGAGAAGATCTTATATATTTTGTCAGAACCACACATTAGAGTTCTTGATGAACCAACAAGGAATACTTCAACCTTAGAACAAATGGAAAATAACTACAGTTGATCCTTGAATGTGTGGGTATTAGAGGCGCCAAACCTCCACACAGTCAAAATCAGCACATAACTTTTGACTCCCCCCGCAAAACTTTACTAATAGTCTACTATTACCCGAAGCCTTGCCAGTAACATAAAGTCAATTAACATGTATTTTGCATGTTATTTGCATTGAATACTGTATTCTTACAATAAAATAAAGTAGAGAAAAGAAAATGTTAAGAAAACCATAAGGAAAAGAAAATACATTTTCAATGCTATACGGTATTTATTGGAAAAAATCCATGTATAAGTGGACCCAGGAGGTTCAATCCCATGTTGTTCAAGGGTCAACTATATATTTTTGGCAGTTATTAAAGATTTTAATACTATTATTACTCCTAAGAAGGAAGGACAAATTGACAAAGTTAGCATGCATTAGTAAAAGTTTTTTCACCTTACTTAAAAGGCTGTTAGACTGCTCATCAAAATAACTGGAGTCATTGAAAAAAAAGATAAAAAATAAACCACTAAAAAGGAATGTGCAGTCAAGAACTTTTCTGACCAATTTCTGCCACTCTGTTCATATCAACTATACAGTTGATCTGGCTATCCATTAAGTAAGGTTCACTTCCATATTTTATAAATATACATTAAGTCATTATCATTTGTACCTAGTATTGCATGAAACTTTGATTATTACCAAAACAACAACTGACCTAAAGAGCTTTTTGCATGCATATTCACATTTCTTTACTGAGTCTGTTTGTGGAAGGGTATCACATTGTCTGGTTTTAGAATGAAGGATGTTAGAAGTAGGGCTTTGACATCATTAGGGGAAAAGGCTTTGGCATTTGTCCTGAGCTCGGCCCAGAAAGCCAAGTCACCAACATGACCACAGATCCCATGTTCACTCATTCAACAAATACTTCTCTCTGTTTATGAATGAGACCATGGACAGGAATGGAAGCATGAATCAGACACAGTTCCCACCATCCAGAAGGCCACAGTCTAATTGGGAAATGAATAAGTAATTACCATAAAGTCTGATAAGTGCATAGACAAGTCCTGAGCATAGGATGTTATAAAAACACATTAAAGGTGTTGAACGCTGCATCTGAAACTAGTGATGTACTATAGGTTGGCTAATTGAATTTAAATTAAACACACACACAGACACACACACACACACAGACACACACAAAAGGGATGCACCTCAGGCTGAAGGCTGGAAAAGATGTCCAGGAGAATAAGCAGGAGTTAATTAGACCAGCGCAGGCAGGAGGAGGGACAGACAGAGGGAAAGGTCAGCAGAATAAGGGGGCTGCTTTGAGGTGCTGAGAAAAGATCACAGCCTTTCCAAACATTTGTAGAGGCTGAGGAGGGAAGCAGCTTGAGCTGTGGACCCTTCGCAGAGATGCAGATGTAGAAGGGCGCACGGATTCCATCCTTCCTGGCTGCCCGCCATCCCTCCCCTGCACCCACTCTTAACTGAGTTTGTTTGACTTGCGGGCTATCATTTGTAATCTCAAGAGTCTGAACCAACACAATGTGCTCAGTTGATAGTCACTCTTTTGGGGAGATAGAGAAAGGCACAGAAGATGCAATCAGCCAAGCCTGTAGAGGTACAGCTGAGTTAAGGCTGGGTTTGCTTGGCCATTAAAAACCCAAAGATGTGGTGATTTGTCATTTCCCAAGCAATTTGGTGGAAAAAGGAAGATTTTTTAAAAGGAGAAAATTAAACAAACAAACCTAGAGCTTGTAAATGCCAGTCTGATTCTGAAGCACCTAAAATTCTCCAAATTCCCATCCTCACACTATAAATGACCCCACATTCCCCATTATTTTTTTTTTAAAGATTTATTTGAGAGAGCGAGAATGAGAGAGAGAGTACATGAGAGGGGGGAGGGCCAGAGGGAGAAGCAGGCTCCTCGCCGAGCAGGGAGCCTGATGCGGGACTCGATCCCGGGACTCCGGGATCATGACCTGAGCCGAAGGCAGTCGCCCAACCAACTGAGCCACCCAGGCGCCCTCCCCATTATTTTTTTAAAAGGTCATCCTAACAGACTATTTGCTTTATTTTATAGTTATGAACTCTCATATCTGTATCATATACTTTTCAGTAGGTTTCTAGGGACAAATTGAGTATAAAATTCTACGAACTCCATTTCTAAAAGAAAGAGGAAAAGATGTGCCTGAATTAGAAAAGTGCTTTAGTAGCCCTGCTATAACTCCCCAGCAACAAAAGCACAAGTCAATGGAGGGGAAAGATCTACTGAAAATCATTAACTCAAGAATCAATTGATCAATGAAAAAGAAAATTGGGGCGTCTGGGTGGCTCAGATGGCTAAGCGTCTGCCTTCAGCTCAGGTCATGATCTCAGGGTCCTGAGATCGAGCCCCACACATCAGGCTCCCTGCTCAGTGGGAAGCCTGCTTCTTCCTTTCCCTCTACTGCTCCCCTGCTTGTGCTCTCTCTCTCTGTTGAATAAGTAAATACAATCTTTAAAAAAGAAAAAGAAAAAGAAAATTATGTGAGTTATCTAAAGAGATAAAACTATACAGTGTTCCCATTTGGTTTCACTTACTTAAGATTACATAGCAGCGGTAATTAATAATTAAAAGATTCTTCTCTGTTATATCCAGTTGTAGAAAGCTACTAGAGTTGAGAGATCATGGGAAGTCATTAAAAGAAATAGAGACACACACAGAGAATGACAGTAGCAGAAACAGAAACACTTCAGAGAGTGGGAGGTCTTCCTTTAATAATCTATTAACTTTATGGTCTTTCTGAATATCCTGGCTGAAATCACTAAGACATGGCATTTGGCAATTCTGGGCATAAATATCAACACTTAATACTTGCCATTTCCATCTATCTATGTATTTAAAGTTAATAACAAAGCACTTTCACATATTAGAGAGTTTAATTCTCACTTCAGCTCCATGAGGTCAATATTATTATTCATGGTATTTCACAGCTGGAGGCGGGCAAAGACCTGAACGCCAGCAGTCCTGCCCCCAAAGTTCAGGCTCATGGCATCACAGGGTGCGTGCGGATATTGCTGACAAGCAAGAAAAAACAAAATAGTAAATGGAAAGCCTTTCCTTTCAAAAGGAGAACTCTAAATAATCATACTAAAAGATTGGATGTTTTTAATACTGTACTTATTTTTACCTCTGACCTTTAAAGATAAGTTCCCTGTTATCTAATATTGGCGTGTGCAGCCCCAGGGTGGGGAAAGGCAGGTAGGCATCTAGAAAGAAGGGAGAATCTAAAAACTGCAGCAGAAAACTGTGGGGTATATGCTTTGAAACAGGATTTTCCTGCTATAGACCTATTCAACTGTTTCCTCCATACCTGCTGGGGCTAGGCAAAACAAATTCAAAAACAAAGACTAATCTAGCTTTGTGAAGAATAAATTCATAAAATTTCAATAATGTCCTGTTTCAACCTAGAGACAAAAATTAATAAATCAGAAAACTTTTCATCTGCTCCAGCAGGGCACTCCTTAACTGGTCACTGCTCCAAGAACACCGCGGTAGTCAAGGGCAGCCTCAGGGACTGAATCACAGGGCATTCTGATGATGCGCAACTTCAACATAGTATAGTCTCCTCATTTAACTAATGAGCAAATGGGAAGGAATAAAGCATGGCCCTGAGAAGAAACTAGGTAGGAGGGATGGGAACATGGATTGAAAATTAAATGACCTAAGGGTGCCCGGCTGGCTCAGTCAGTAGAGCATGTGACTCTTGATCTCGGGGTTGAGTTCGAGTCCCATGTTGGGAGTAAAGATTACTTAATAAAAAAAAAAAAAGTTTTTTTAAAGAAAATTAAATGACCTCTCTAGATCACAGAAGAGAGGAGATAATAGGTCTGCTATGGGAAGCAAGGGATCACTTCTATGAGCAGGGCTCATGAGGAATGGCCCTGTGAGGCTGTGTCTGTGAGGAGCCAGCCACATTTCTGTCTCTCAAGACAATACCAGCCTTCTTTCATATTCTTTAGAGCACAAGCAAACCCCAAACCACACTCCTGGAAAAGACCTCTGCAAAACAGGGCGAACACACAACCCTGTGTTTGTCTCCTCGGACATATTCTACCTCACACAGAGAAGCCCTGGAATGAAAAGGCTAAGGCAGCATCAAAGACTTGGAGGTACTGACTAGAAAGAACTGAATAAGCAGTGTGGTAAAGTCTACAACACCCAAAGTTATTGTCCTGTGTCTCTTTTAATGTCTTTCTAAAATATGGCATGTGAAATAGAAAAACTTTAAGAAGTTATAAAATAACAATCATCCACCATTGAAAATGTTAGAAATAAAGTCCCTAGGAAGAAAAGTTAAAGAAACTAAGTTTATTTAGGCTGGGCGGGAAAAAAAAAAAAAAAAAAAAAAAACTGAAGAGATTTTAAGGAACAGCATTATCCCTGGGAGAGAGACCAGGGTGAGGAGCCTCGGACTGTAACTTGTGACGTCAGCTATGATGTGGAGGACCCGGGAAAGCCCCACACCCTCCCAGGGCTGCTGTGAGGCGCAGATGAAATGCGCGTTCCCTCAGTACTCCAGCACAGACTCTCTAGGGGCCTACCCTGGG